AGGGGATAGACTGGGGATATGCGCGGCAGGGGATAGACTGGGGATATGCGCGGCAGGGGATAGACTGGGGATATGCGCGGCAGGGGATAGACTGGGGATATGCGTGGCAGGGGATAGACTGGGGATATCCGTAGGTGGGACATACTGGGGAAGGGAAGAAGATGATGGTGGTGATCGGTTTTATGAACTAGAAAATAGATTAACCAAGCCCTGGGGATGTCATCTTTCGGGGTGATCTATTCAGGCGCTGCTGCGGTGATTCAGAAGACGCATGGAGATTCAAGTACAACATGGGATTGCTTTTTGAAACAAACGTCCAATATAAATTCAGACTGGAGTTTAGCTTTAAAGTGTAACAATTTCTTGGACAGAGTAGCGAATGGTTAACATTTATTTTTGTTTTGTTTCCTACATGCCATTGGAGAGGTTTCCCTTTACTTCCTGTCCAAGATCTATAACAGGAAGTGACAGAAAGTCTTTTTAAAGTAAATGCCGTCCTAGACAGTTGTCACTGAAGTAAGTGTCCCTATTGGATGAGCTCCCTTCAGCTCCTAGTGACAACAGTAACATTTTGGATTCTCCATCTTATTCTGCCCTGGCTAAACAAAGAAGGTAAATCTCTTCAAAGGGTAACATACATAGCAATAAAACCTGACCAGTGTTCTAACCCAGGGTCGGGAAAACTTCGACCCTCCAATTGTGATGAAACTACAAATCCCATGAGGCATTGCAAGTCTCTGGCAGCCATAGGCATGACTCCCGGAGGCAGGTGCCTGATGGGATTTGGGGTTTCACCACAGCTGGAGGGCCGGAGTTTGCCTACCCTTGTTCTAGCCCTTCCCCGCTCAATCTAAAACAGAAACAAGGTTTGGCTTTCAATGGTAGTTTTGGGGTCACCAAGGGCTATCCATTGTCTGATGACCTCTCGTTTAGCAGAGTTTGGCCAATCACAGCTTAGCGTTCGCCTTGCCCATACAGAGTTAACTCTTCATAATCAGATTTGTTTTATTATATTTATTCCTCCGTTACATTGGGATGTTCCTTTTGTTTAGTAATGTGGCCCTACATTTCACATGTGCTCATGAACAGACCGGGCTCACCCACCAAGTACAGGAACAAAAAGCCGAAGAGCAGAGTACAGCAACCAAATTTCTCTGTGCAAAAGTCACGTGACCGAAAGATGCATTCTGATTGGCCGCTGCTCTCTGTCATATAGAGGATGTTGCACCTTTTAATTGTCATAACCCATGCCTTTTATACCCCAGAGGCCTCCATTTTGTAGACTGGATTCACATTCAGCCACATCTCTGGGCGCAAGTGACATAGTTGAGGCGCTCTATGCCTAAAACCTCCGTAATGTTGCCTTAATTATGCCACTTGTACTTGGCAGGCTTGTGTCCGTGGGCCAGAAGTACAGATCAGGGGGCCCAGTAGCAAAAAATGTGAACGGGCGCGCCTAAGGATCTCTCTTTGAGCTGTGAGCAGCGGCGTCCGGAGCAGGTACCGGGTGACACACCACCGTGATGCCACCACGCATGCGCGGCCCTCTTGGTGATACCTGCCGGTGGCCATTTTCATGATGGATACCAACAGATAGAGGAGGGGATGTTCCCATGCCAGGCTAAGGTATGCCGCCGGGTCCCCTCCTCTCTCCTGCAACTGTCGGGCTCTCGGTCCATGAGCGAGTGTCAGACTTTTCAGAGAGGGTGACACCAAAATGACTACTAGTCATTTTGGTGTCATCCTTCCAATGGTGTCACCCGGGTGCGCGCCGCACCCCCCCTAGTGACACCACTGTCTGTAAGTAACGATGCCAAGATCCCGAAGGCTCCTCTTGTGCATCTGAAGTTGTCTCTACCCCGTAGACTTTAACTCCGACCCTTAATGATACTGTACTGTGTTCTCTTCACATGGTCTAGGTTTAATTTGCCCCAACAAAATAATGGGGCCCCTTCCACCCCCAGGCCCCATAGCAGCCGTCTGAGCTGCTATGGCTATAGTTAAACCACTGCGAGTGTCCTCAGGACTACTGGCCTGGCAATTAAAATGGCTGCCTTGCGGTGTTTTGCTTTTACATAATAAGTGCCAAATCTAATTTAATTCATATACATAACTCTACCAGCTTTCAGCTATTTAATGAACAGTCTGTGATGATTTTCTTTATGTGTCTGCGAGGAAACGTCTCGTTCTGGATTACATTTGATGTGACAACGGCTGTAATATGCAGTAACCGATCCCTCTCTCCTATCAGGTAAATTG